GGCCCAAGAGCTGATTGAATGACATCATATTCTGTTAATTTCAATAAACTGCCCCTAACTATCTCGAAATATGCGTATAAATTTATCTTTTATAATGAAACGGGCTATCTAATTGGTTTCTTTTATATTTATAGCTTGCTGACAGAGGATATTTCCTATAAAATATGTTCCTAGAATATTCTCGCTAAAGTACCCTCGTTAAGGCACGAGTGCCCTTACCTTAAATGTTGCGTTTTTTTCTGTAGTGGCGAGTTTCGGAAATAATATGTGTATTAGGGGTCCCCAAATCTGATATTTACCGACTTTAAAAATATTTATCACGAAACGATGGATATCCATTATTCAATTAATCGATGAATTCATCAATTAATCCATGTTAATAATTTATGATCAATCAATTTCGATTTTGAATGCTGTACTTGTTTCCACACCACCCAAGAGGCTAAGTACACGGCGCGTTTTTTTAACGTGGTTTTCCCTGTAGTCCTAATCCACTCAGGTACTGAAATTATTTTTGGCAAAGGCCAGACGGACCTGGCTCGTTGATTTCGATATATTCAACGGGGAAACTGGTTACCTCAGCTCCAGAATCGATGTTAATTTCCTTCAACTCGTCGGATTCTTCTTCTGCAGTCGATAAAGAATCATCATGCAGCGAATGGAGGTCTTCTTCATCGGATTCGTCCAGTGTCACTTGGCTGATATTTTCACAAGCTTTCCCGTTGCAGACACCGCGAATCATCGAACATCGCAATCCTGCTCTCCTGCATCCGCAGGCTCTACCACAAGCCGCCTTGCACTTACAAGATAAAAAAGCAAGTAGTGCTTTGGAAGCAGGATCTTTCAAAGTAGTTATTGGAGTGACGCCAGTTTGTGTTTTCTTCCAACCCCAATCTTCAACTACTTTCGGACAACCACGCCATAGTTAAACCTGATAGTACGTTCTCAACGAATGCTGTCGTGCAGCTGCGCTTGTCGGTGGTAAAGATGCCAAATTGAATTTACTTTTTGTTACCGACTTCGTGAAACCCTGGTATCGATATTTATCAAGATTGGTGTAATTTGTGTCTTTGAATCCATAGAGTGCAAGGAAACATTTCTCACCGGCAAAGGCAACTTGATCAGGGATGGCATGTTCATTATTAAAAACTTTAATATGATCTTGTAACTCTTTATGTTTTTCTAATGTTGTTAGAAACTTCATTTTTCCTTGGTTAAATACGGTCTCGCAATTTTTTCATGTCCGTTTTTCTCGTAAAATTACTGATTGGCAAATTGTGTTCGTTAGGAAAGGTAATTTAGTTGATGAAAAAGTTCTTGTGTTTTTACCGTTCATAAAAATATCTCATCTAAAATATATATTTTGTGTATTTACTCATATTGGAATGGAGTGATAAAGACAAGAAAGCAAAATTTCAAATTTCTATGAATTTATGGGCGGTTTTACAGTACGAGAAGGTACCTATATCTACGGATACATAGTATAGGTACGAAATTTCCTCATAACCATCCTGCACCCACCTACTTCTGGAGCTAAGTCGCCAGATTCGTCGATAATGCAATTTTTATATCGCCCAAATAATCGCAAGTCACAAATGCAAAATTTTTGTCGCATAATTGATCTAAAAATCGTCCAATATAACGAGGAACAAATTGAATAGCCCGTTTTATTATAAAATTTGAATTTATACGCATATATGGAGATAGTTAGGGGCAGTTTATAGAAATTAACAGAATATGTTGTCATTCAATCAGCTCTTGAGCCTAAACGGCTCTCTTTAGCAGAAATATGCTCGTAACAATTCTTGTAGAAAATTTCTTCATCTTAAATTTTCATGTCTTCATATTTTTTCTTAAAACGCACCGTTTTGAAGATATTTCCAAAAAACCGTTTTTGAGCGCCATCTTGGCAAGATGGCGGCGCCGGCGGCATGTCCCGGAATGTGCATTTTGTGAATTTGAGTTCTGGACACCCAAAACTAAAATCCTACAAAGTTTCAAAACTTCCGGACTTTTTTCCAGGTAAGCCTTATTTTGGATCCCCAATGACTGAACTATTTCGGGCACTTTCCAAGTATCTGACTGCGATCTACAAACTATAAATGCGCACAAGCGCATACACGTTGATGACTGAGCGCTCCCATCGATGGTGAATTGAAATTAGTTGCCGCTGTGTGATAATTAGAACTAGTCAATCATGTAAAAGTGTGTTGACTCAATCTTCTTCACAATCTTGATCATAATTTTTCTCTGGAAGTTCGAAAAAAAGATCAATGATAGCTAAAACTATAGGTCGAAACACATTCAAACCACTCTGTATAATACTCAATTGTATTCAGAGCGAGAAAAGCTTTAAGAAACTGTGAACACGTAATCAGGACCGTAGAGATTAAAAAAAAACTAAATATAAAATACTTTCAGATCTTTTATAACTCTAACAACAGAAAAAAACGAAAATTCAACTCTTTTCGGTATAACTGAAAAACTGAATGATTTTGAAAATTTTCGAAGGCTGCTCTGGATGCGCAACTTTTCCCCACTTAACCGGTCACACTTTGTATCATCACATAGATCAACGACTCTCAATTTATGATCATCATAATGAAATTATGGATATTCATACCCAAGAAAACGGACCTGAAAATTGGGGGACGGTTGAAGAAAATGCCTGGCAGCAAAATATTAGCCAGTCCGGGCCTGTTGATGTTTGTGAAATAGATACACGTGTACCTATCATTTCGTCAAGAAGGGTCAACGACTAGTGATTGTGTACTGTGTACTGTGACTGTGTAGGTACACACACGATGACAAAGTAATACAATACAATACAATGAATGGAACACGCATAATTTGATATATCGGATAGGTACCTACTTATACTGGTTCGTGGCATGAGCATCGTCCACCAATATTCTAATATTGGTGGACGATGGCATGAGCGTCCACAGAGAAAGGACAGGGTTCCTGCGTGCTGTCCTCTGACTTCTGAGGATTCTGCTTTCTACCTTTTTCAACATACAAACCCTCCGTGACTTGAATATTTCATTGCTCACGAAAACGATGCTACCAGATACCAGAATTGATGTACAGCATACTATCGATATTCACTTTTTTGTTTGTTTTATTGGAGTCGAATTGTCTGATATTTATGTCAAAAGCAAATTCAGATGGCGTCCGCAGAAATAATCTCAGGGGAGGGAAGTCATAGGGGATTATGAACATATTATGGATCGAAAAATAGTCGAACATATTTTCGATCCATACTTCACACTACACTACAAAACAATGTTTGATTGACTGAAAATTTCAGTTTCATTTACTAGATTATTCATTCATTCAGGCAAAAAGTCGGATAGTTTTTATAAGCCTTATCTGACTGACCAACAAAATATGGATTGAAAACTCCAAATCTATTTTGATGAGAATGTATCTGAGTAAGGACTAGGCGCTAGAGGGGGCAAGCACCCCTTCTTAATGCCCACTTATGCGGACGTTCCTGAGAATATCCCCAAATGATCTTCAAGAAAACCTATCGCAAAATTCCTCAGCCTTAAACAATTCTATACATGCAAACCTCGAAGCATATTTACCTGTTTACCTCAGTAAGTTGTTTAGGGTACAAAAAACAGCAAAATAGCTGATGACGATTATTGCATCATATACGTGGAAATGTTGAAGACTCTACTCGATTCTCTAGGTTTGTTGATCTGTGATTGAACGTCCACCTATACCGTTTGATATATCAGGGTATCGGGCCAATCCTGTAACTTCTGCATTCGTAAACGGATTTTTCTGAAATTTGGTATACAGGTATGTAAGCAACCATTTCGGATTTCATCACATTCTGTTTTTCTGGAAATGCCAGTAACTTTGTTTTTTCAAATCGAACAAACTGTATACTTTCAAGTTCAACAGGTCACAGCAATGGCTATCTTCATGTTGAATGTTAATTTTTCGAAAAAAAGTAGATTAAAATTGTCGGGAAAAAAGTTTGGCATTTCATCTCTGTTGACAGGTCATAAAATGTCACTTTCCATAAATTACTTTTTTCCCACGGGAAAAGAGTGAGTACTTTTTTCCCGGATATATATCACATATATAAACTGTTGATGGCTTTTGTTGTGCTCTAGTTCCGAAAAATAAGCCAATATCACCGTCTTCGAGGAAGAACTGCAAGTCTTTTTATCTTCCATTCGACTTCACCGTTACGTGAATTACTCTACAACCACTGTATTCGCAGATTTTGATAATCAAATCACAGAATTAGACCGACAGATATATGATTACTTGAAAAGAAGATGCCTGCAACGCAGGTGGCATTCCTGTTGAAAACTTTCATTATAATGTGTCCAATCTTCTCAATATTAATTCTTTTAGTTTTAGTAATTAGTTATTTTTCCTGTAACAGAAAAAATGGTGTATTATACACGGGAAGAATATTAGATTTTAGCTCCAGGCTGTGTTGTCTCCCGACGCGTAGCGACCACTTTTTTCCCTTGTATGATAAATTACTATTTTTTATTTCTTCTCGTGTATAAATGTTTTCTTATCTTATCCTGAGAATGCTAACATATATTTAGCGAAACACGCAAAACACGCGTTTGAAAAATTAGTTTGGTTACTTGGTTAGTATATAGTAAAACATTGCATGAAGCTATGCCAACGTTTAGGGACCAAATATGAGTAAAATTTCATGAGCCGTTTAAATTTATAAAGCAAAACAGATTTGAAAAGTATACTACCAGATCCTTCTAGTGCCCGAACTAATCACTTTATTTATTACGTTCATATGTCTATATCAACTCAGTTATGTCAACAGAATATGACTCTGCTCCCCCTATACTGAGTAAAATTTCTGTAGGAGCCCATAGTTGATAGTAACTTATTTAGATGACTTTGTAATCGAACCACTCCTAGAGCGGAAAGTTTTCATGGATATTCAAGAAATACCTAGTAATATTTTGTGTAAGAACAATTATACGCATTTCGAAACAAATATTTAATAACAGAGTAATTTTCGAAGGTGTACAATTTCATATAGATGATATTTTATTGAGTTCAGATATAATCACAGGTACAAGTAGTTTCGAGATAATTAGATAAAAAATGAATCCCTTGACAACAAAATATAACATCTTCTGGAATGTCATTATCCTGGAAAGAAAGAGAGATAAGTAAAACAAGGGTAAGACAATACATCATTTTCATTTTCGTTTCAATATAATCATTTTTATATGATTAGTGATATAATTTGTCTTCAAGTTAGTGGACTAGAGTGAAATCCAATCATAAGTTTATTTCATTTACAGGATGAGTGTAAGGGAGTGTACACCTGCTAACTGTCTTAGCAGGCAAAGCGCTAACTATGCCTTTTGTCAGTGGTTTATCTAATTAAAGATCATACGTGTGTATATGATCTTTGTCTAATCCAAATTCATGTACCGAGCTAACTAGACTGGCAATAAAATCTTCTATTATTATTATTTCCATTATTTTTACTATTGATGAATCCATATGGAAGACCTAATATCTGAGGTTTTATTAACTATAGGATCTCAGAAGAGGATCAACCTCGGGATCAACCCAGCGTCCTAGAAATGGTTGTTATCTTACTTTATATAAGTTGTATGTCTCACTTCTCCTAACCCTGCATACTAGTAACAACTCTTGGGGAGTGAAAAATCCCTAAACATATAAGACCAAAAATGCTTTGTTTTCGGTATACCGGATGTCAACGAATCTTGATAGATGTAACAACATGATATTTAGTATGGGTATATAAATGGTATGTGAAGAGAAGAGTTTCCGTTTATTTTTCATTTTTTGTTCACTTCCAATTCCACCAGAAATGACTCCGGTAATGGATATTTGAATGGAGCACCTTGTAAATCAAAACATTTCTCGATTTCTGAGACAATTCTGGATCAAAATCTTACATTCTTGAAAATCTACATTCTTCAATCCTCTTCCTCTTAATATCACAAAAAAATGAGGCCTTTTACTGTCTGCTGATGAAGCTGCTCATAGTGCTTATGTAACTGTCAGCAATTATGCCAGTGTTTTATTCTCAAAAGAAGACTTGTTGAAGATATATGCAAAATATTATGCATCCTAATTATCCATGGCAGAGCACTGATACGAGTGAAACATATTATCCATAAATATTATCCATTAATATTTTAGTTCTTCTTTTTGAACCAATCGCAAATAAATCGCTGGATCCGTCAGAAAACCTGTGGTTTTCAGATTAGCCTCAGATTAGTTACGTTCGATCATGGCCATCTAGATGCAATTTTGAAAATTGCTCAACAAGAATGAAGAAGATGTAAAAACCTTTCAAAATGTCATATTCTGATCAAAAACTGTTTCAGGGTGATCCATTTGAAAATGTTCTGGTGAAACCGGGAGTGACCGAAAAGTAAGAAATGTGGGAAAAATCTTCTCGTCATACAGAAGTGCATTTTTTCACACCTCTTCGTATAAAAATCAAAACATAATTTTGAAATTATAGAATCGAAGACTATATAGAACAAAAAGAAGGGTACGGAAGATCATTCGAGAACGTTATCGAACCAAAGCCTACCAAGGGATCTCATATATAAACGGCCGGACAACTGCCGTCAGTCAGACGAGCAGCGAGTATCAGGGAGACAGTTATATATACCGCGTGATATAAATCGTTTTACATAAATAGTAGTAAAAAAATAGTAAACGAAGTGTTTATATGGAACTACAGAGATCTTGGGAAGGACCTTATACCGTCAAGAAGAAGATTAACGATGTCATCTACCGCATCAGTAAGGAACCCAGTGGCAAACCAAGAGTCGTTCATTTCAACAAACTAGCCATTCGAGAGAACACAAGATCAACAAGTTCAACAAGAATGTCCGAAAGAAAAGGAGCTCACATTTGACGGATTCATTGGGACATACAGTGGTTCATCAAAAGTAAGGTTTGGCGTCACCAAGGAAGAGCACCGCGACCTTTTTGCCATTCCTGTAGAATACGCACTAGCTCACTGCGTCGCCAGAGGATCATCAGATGACTCAAGGAATAGGCAACAAGTTCATGAGGAAATTCGGGAAGTTAGAAGAGCTTCATCAACAGGGTCCCTCCGTCGGTCGAGCACTAGAAATAGAAGATATTAGCCCTGAAGGAAGAAGGTTTCTGTTTTATCTTATAACGAAAGGTAGATCTTCTGAGAAACCCATTTACAAGGACCTCTGGGACACACTAGTCGACTTACGAAGTGCCATACCCGAGAAGGACATAGAGAAGATAGCTGTTCCAAAGCTGGCGTGTGGTCTAGATGGCTTGAATCGTTAAGTTGTAAGAAACATGCTGGAGGTTGTATTTATTATTTTTCCAAAGGAACTTCAAGAGAGAAGACAGTGCCATGCTATTTCTACCATACTGCACGTTGTTGAGATGAAACCAGTTGTACCTATATCTTCATAACGATCAGAGTGCAGGAGGAATGCGATTTAAGTTGGGGGCAGTGTAATGATATTTCCCTCAGATTGTTCTTCAACATCTCAATGATTCCTACATGTACCAGCCTATTTCCGAACACTCAATATACAATGTCGCGGTGACAAATAACGTGACAGAAGATTCTGAAATGTTCTGGAAACAATTGATGGAACAGTTAGAGAGAGATATATATTGTTCTACGAAGCTCTAGAATTAAGAGAAGGGTACGGAAGATCATTCGAGAACGTTCTCGAATCAATGCCTAACATGAGATCTCATATATAAACGGCCCGACAACTGCCGTCAGTCAGTCGAGCAGCGAGTGTCAGAGAGACAGTTATATATACCGCGTGATATAAATCGTTTTACATCAATAGTAGTAAATTAGTGTTTCTTTAGTTCAAATAAATCAGTTCGAAAATAAATAGTGTCGTGTTCGCTTCTGCACCCGAATAACGTAACAATATTATACAGGACTGAATAAATTGGTTTCTCGACTGGCATAATTTCTACTACGAAATAGCCATGCACAATGCACAAAGTGGAATGAAATGTTTGTGGCTATTACGTAGTTGAAATTACGCCAGTCGAGCAACCAGCCACTCTCGAATGGGAATTTTGGAGTGTTTCTTTCCTTCTCTTCTACTCAGATGACGTTGATCTCATACTGTCTATGGAGGACGCCTCTGAGGAAATATAATGCCGACTTGATTTTTGTTTGGCTAGGCTACGCTTAGTGGGCGATCTGAAGAATGCTGGCTGGAAACTGCCCTGCACTGCAGAGAGCCAAAGAGCTCGAAAAAGGTCTGTAGGTGTCTAGCGTGGCCTGGCTAAGTCGAAATCAATAGGCATTCAGGAAATAATCACTTGTAGGTATCAGTATTCGTTTATACGAGTCGATGCATAGATTTCGGGACGATGTTCTGCGTGGCATCAGCCAGGAAAGTAGTTGTTTTTCTCCCAAATTTTACCATTGATGTTCATTTTATGAACATTGTGTGGAAATGACTTTGAGCATTCTGTAGTTATTTAACATTTCATTCCACTTTGGGGATTGTGGCTATTTCGTAGTTGAAAATCAATTCATTCAGAATACTTATTACGAAACCACTGTATAGAATCTTGGTAGTGAAAAATATTATCACCACGGAACCTGCTTAAACTGTTATAGGGACTTCTGGTCCCTGGGTAATAAAGATACAAAGATAATTGGAGTTAATTTTAGTTGCCAATAACTTTTTTATTTGTTTTTCGATTTGATATCCTGAATATGAGTTCTCAGAAAATTTTATGGATGGAAGAACATCAGATCATCCTTTTTAACCCTCGAATACTTGCCCGCTGTACATTGTCAAATAAAGTATGTGCGACCTTCTCTAAAAAAATGTTTTTCTACATTCAAAGCAGAACTTTATTCAACTATATTTAGTGGAAAAAGAAATTCTTTATTGCACTTAGTGCAATAAAGTTTTTATTGCACTCATCTGTCATTCTACTTCAACGTGCTGTCATCATGACAAACATTTTTTATATTGCAACTGTGGTTATAGAAACGTCATATATTCATATTTAAAATTGCACCAATTGTTCATTCACTTTCAACATTGAGGGTAAAAATAAAGTTTGAGTTAAATTGCTCGTAACGTATTAGTTCCTGTTTCAATGCAAATCGATATTAATAGTGAAGTATTCAAGTTGCGTTCTTCATTTTCCTACACCTAGTGCCGCACTTCAATAAATAATTTTTTGCTTTTTGCAGGAACGTAGAAGAAATGTTGTATGCAACTCGTGCAAAAATTGTTCATTGCACTCGACGTGTTGTCCAACTCGGCCTGACGGCCTCGTCGAATTTCACGTCGGGTGCAATAAACATTCACTTTTTGCACTTGTTGCATATAACTAACTATTTCTGATTCACCGTGAAAAATTTTGAAGAATGTATTGCGGTGCTTTTATTGTCCAACAAAATGGGTGATTGGTACCATATGATAATGCTCATCTTCTGAATTGATGATAGAATTGAAAAACTGAAACAATTTCACTAGACTCTAGACAAAGTACAAAGCAGATACTGTCGCGAATCAAAAAACATTTTATCATAAGGTCACAACTCTATATTGAAACATGATGAAACTGGTTAGGTTTTTAATGTGCTATTACTGCTATAGTGTATTATACCTAATAACTATTCATGTGTGAAGGAAATCTACTCATTACCAATGATTCATCTTACCTTGCATATCGTTTGATCTCTTCTTCAGTGGCATAGGCTTTTTCTTTCATCAAGTATTGTTTTATGCCCTTCCAAATAATGTGTATTGCCTTGACGGTTCTTGTAGAATCCGCTGGCATACGTGAGTTAATGAACGATAGTTCCTTTTTATCGCATTCCATAAGAGATTCTTCTAATCCCAGGTAATTTTCTGTCCTGATATTGAATGCTTTGGACATGAATGGATACAATGATACGTTAGCTATAAATACCTTTCGATAAAGCTTGAATATTCTAAAAAAAAAAACAACTTGTATACATGACATCGGGTTCGCATTGATAAAGAGGTATTTAAATGACATTGTGATCTAACTACCTCTGGTGGGCAGAATTATTGATAGTTGTGTCAATCGAAACCTGAATGGCGAGTTGAATCGCATGACTAATGAACACGATACTAACACCAATCACTTGGAGCTACTTTGATATAAAGCGTATTTAAAATTGATTTGAGAACAGAACAAGCGATCCGAGGCCGGTGTTCCTATTTTACCTCCACGTCAATAATTGATTCACCTATCTTTTCAATTCCTATCCACCAGCCACGTTTCACGCAACTTTATATTACTAGTATTGAGTGCGTTCCTTTCTATCCTAGCCTAAATATGTGGTGACTCATATGCCGATAACTATATGTATAGTCGACCACCTATGAATAGATCTCCGATCCGACCGTCACATGAAAAAACAGTTTCCATCGACTCAAAATAGTGAAAATAGCAAGAGATCATACAGCATCTGTAAAAGAATTACTATCACTCATCATGACTTGTCCAAATGTCCATCTCGACAATTCAGATCGAATAAAACTTCCTCCAATTAACTCCCAGTATCAACTTATGTTCAAGCATACATAATATCTCTATCTTATCACGATTCTGAGAACAGATTACATCAGCAGCAACCTTTCTCTACAATTCACATCATCCAGCTACCGCCAATGAACTCAATATAAACACCTATATTGATGATGGCGTATGTTGAATTTGTTTTCTTCTTCATAAAATTCATCTCATGTTCATGAATGCGCTGATTAAACGTACGACCTGTCTGACCGATATATACCTTAGGACAAGATCCACATTTGAGTTTGTATACCCCTGATTTTTCGAATTTAGAAGTTTTGTCTTTATTATTCTTGATAAACCGCCCCATCGTGTTATTTGTTCTATATGCCACTTTTAAGTTCTGTTTATGTAGAAATGAAGCTAATTTCTCAGTTGATGATCCGAAATAGGTTAAAGTTTAATAATTTTGATTATTATTTTTGATGGTAGGATGAACTTCTTGAATAGCTGTACGTTGTATCCGTTGTTGACTGCAATCTGGCATCGCCAGTAAGAACTTCAGGAAGGAGGAGGAGGCGTTTTTTCAATCGAAATTATTGCATTGAATTGAAATTGGAAACCTACTGATTGATTTTTACTGAAAGTGCGTGGTTCAAAAATATTACATGAGAAAAATATAAAATAGGTAGGTTAAGTAGGTCAGTTGATTAGTATACCTGAAACAACGTTCTACCATTACTTATCTAAAAATGTCTAAAATGTTAGATCCATTTCTACAGAATGATTCTACTCCGAAAGAGAATTACCAATTCATGCATTGAGATTTACTTACTTTGGTTTTTTTCCAGTCAAATACATGATACTGTCCAATATGAGAGCAGGCAATAAATGATAAAATAAGGTTCCGATATAGAATATGATTGGATTTTTTATGAATTCAGTATATGCGTACCACAAGTAACTTTCTGGTGGGTTTTTACTAACAACTTTATTGCCTACTTCTCTGTCGAAAAGAGGAGAGAAATTGACATCTGTTGCATTGTTGTAAACTTCAATAATCGTGGTATCGGCCCTGGAAAAATGATAACTTGTTCTGAAATATACGTATGACGAAAATAGCATAATATATAGTGTGAAAATAGATGGAATAGAGACGGAAAATGTATTCAAGAAACGAAAAAGTTCATATGTTGTTGATATGCTATTTTAATCAACACACAAATGAAGAAGAAAAATTATTGATGCAATCGATTAACTGTCAAACACATAAAACATTTTGTGTAGGTACACCGCCTACTAAGTGAAATAATTATGAAAAAATAGACTGATAGCCCTGTGGATCATCGTATAAGAGGAACAATTTTAGTTTTATTATTCCAAATGGAAAGATCATGTGATAGGCACTGGTTTCTGTACTCGTTTCTGTACGAGTAGCTGAATTCGAAAAAATATGTACCTATCTTAGATTCCTCAATATCATGAGTTATTTTCGAAGGTTTTCATCTTGACTCAAACAAGCTATTGACAACCTGCAGACATTGATCAGAATATCAAAACATTTTGAATAATATCGGTTTACTAATGATATTCAAATTTCAAAGCTTACCAAGTGTCGATATATCATCGAATTCATGTCACAGCCAACTTATTCTTTTTGAATCAAAAGCAATTCAACAGCGAATTAAGAAATAAATGCCACTTTGTGATACATAGTTGGATATAGAATTTCGAGGCGAAATAGATAGACTGAAGAAATGTACAGGGTGACATTAAAAAAAAAAAAGTTGGGGTCACTTCTGGTCAAACAGGTGATTGAAAAAAAGTGTCGTTAAGTTCGTAAAGTGCGCTACCATTTATTATATACCACCTGTGAATTACATAATTTCATCTCATCAAATAAAAAAACTACAGGCTGCTACATATCTCCTGTGTCACCCGGTATATAGAGATTTGAAGAAAGGTTTTTTGTACAGAATCATCAGGAGTAAGCATTTGCTCCCTCTGCTCCCCCCCTCTTGATAATGCCTATTCTGGGCCACCCTGTATATTCTACTCCCATTAGTATGAAAACATACTTACTGAACTAACATTCAACTTACTGTACTGATTTCTTCCAAGTTGCTATTAACAAAACTTTCACGGTATTGTCAACGAATACATGGTCATGTGCAATTTCTTCATCAGCCTTCAATACTTTCAGCAAACCTGAAAACAATACACAATTATATTGGAACAACAGTGAAATTGACACAGTGGCCGCGAGGTCATGAGCTGAAATCCCGGCCAGGGCAATTTTTCTAATATTTGAATAACGAATTTAATATTGTAGAGTTTCTGAGCATCGGCTGGGGATAATCCTGATGCAGGATTCACTGTTGCCTTTCAGTGATACTCCTAAAGTGGCCATGGAGTTAGTAACAAAGCCTACACAGAACACGTAGGAATAAATGATGACGATGTGGTGGTGAGCATCAGATAAGAAGAAAAGGACGGTGTCTATGTATATGTATAGGTGTTGTTGTGTTCAGCTGAGCGTGAGAGCGAGCCAATGCTACGACAGGTCTGCTACTGCAGCATACGGTAGTGAATACATTAGTAGCCTTCAAAACAAATCCAAAAACTTTTGAAAGATAGCTGACAGACGCTAGTTGGAAAGGGTGTTATATCACTCATCGCATTACACATTGGAGCTTGCAAAAAGTTCATATTAGGGACTTTATTTGCTGAAGTGCAAACGTTCCCCACTTCTACAAATAACCAGTACCACAGTAGTCTTACGATTTCATTCGTGTTTTTTTTTAATCTTGTTTCAAGTCATGAGTCGAACGAAGTTGATTTATTGGATTTCAATATAATCAGTAGTAATACTATATGAGTACTGCAAAATATTCGGGTAATTTATGGATAACTTGAGGTATAATTAAAAATAATATTTCGAGTAGTTTTGAACCAACGTCAAAATACCCAGAAGTGCACAAATAACGGCCAGGGCTGTGACTTCTGAATCATTCGAGATCGGATTTTGAAAATTGGTCGGTAGCAAGTATACCAAATAGCTCATTTATTTACAAATCAATTTCTGTTCTATCACTTTCAGTTTCACCGGAAACAACCCCAAGTTTTGATTTTTAAATGGGACAGCCTGTATTTTGTTCCATAATCGGTTAGAGATTATTATGGAGAATTCAACGATACCGGGTTTGATAGGGTTATTTCAAACAATCACGAAGATATTTGCGCTCGAAGTTTCCATATGCTCAGTGGGTGTGACTTCGCAATATCGAAACTTCTTTCTTTGTCACACTCATTGACTAAACAGAAACTAGAACGCAGATATCTTCGAAATCGTTTGAAGTAACCCTATCGAACCTGGTATCGTTGAATTCGTTATGATAAGGCCTAACCGATTATGTAATAAAATACAGGGTGTTCCATATAATAATAATAATAATAATAATAATTATGAAAATCGAAAGTTGGGGTCACTTCCGGTTGGACCGGTATTTGAGGAATAACATTTTTTTCCGTCAATAACTGATGATGATGATTCAGAAGTTACAGCTCTTGCCGTTTTTTGTGCACACCTCTGTATGACGACGCAATTTTTTTGTATGTAACAATATGAATTGATGGTTTCTATGGAAATGGAAATAATTCTAAATTCCTGATTGGTGGAACGTTCCTATGTATATCCACGTATATTCGGAATATATAAAATCATTCTTACACTACTTGTCATGAGCAGAAATGTTCATTCCGATACTGGAACTAACGTGCGTAAATTTTGTTACATTCTTGTTTTTGTTATATCGAATCTGAAACAGGTATAATACTAGAGATTATCAATTTTGTATCACTAGAACATGTTATGATGAGATGAGCAAAATAAGCCAATTAGGGAAAATTTTTCTTCGTGATATTATAGACCTCATGATTGCGGCATACATTTTCATAATAAAAATAATTTTTTCTATTGTATAATAAAATAAAATTTACTTATTTTAATAAATAAAAAAATTCAAATAAATAATAAAATTAAACTTATGTTTTCCTCACGAATTGAAACAGCTATTTACATTTATTCACCATTATTCCAATCTCGACGACATTGAATTTTATGGCTCACACCAGCCAGATCTGGAAAAATCTAGAGTTCCATTCATTGGTGAATTGATATATGAATTTTTCACCGTCAGATTTCAAGCTCCTCGAGAGATCGTTGGTTCGATCCTCATCAGCCAAACAAAGAATTTGTTTCACTACTCAATATAGAATCTTCTCTAGATCAACCTCAATGTAACAGTTTTTTAATAATCTGGATTTGTTAAGGCGTCTATAATAACTAATCATCAAACAAACAAAAACAGACATACGCGCTAGATTGAGAACCTCCTCCTTTCTTGGTTTGTAGGGATAGGAGTCTCCAAATGGCAGTATCGATAAATGTCAATCATTCCAATTTTCCATTTCGGTGGCTGTTTCAGATTCACATGATTCTTCACCTTTTTAGTTACGATCAACTCTCCTGTTAGAATTACATTTCAATAATGATATTGGGAGACGGGAGATATGTATATTTCACCGTCAGATTTCAAGCTCCTCGAGAGATCGTTGGTTCGATCCTCATCAGCCAAACAAAGAATTCGTTTCACTACTTAATATAGAATCTCCTCTAGATCAACCTCAATGTAACAGTTTTTTAATAATCTGGATTTGTTGAGGCGTCTATAATAGGTAATCATCAAACAAACAAAAACAGACATACGCGCTAAATTGACAACCTCCTCCTTTTTTGGTTTGTAGGGATAGGAGTCTCCAAATGGCAGTATCGATAAATGTCAATCAATCGAATTTTCCATTTCGGTGGCTGTCTCAGATTCACCTTCTTAGTTACGATCAACTCTCCTGTCAGAATTACATTTCAATAATGATATATAGGGAGACGGTTAGTTAAGGTCAGTAATTCGCAAGACACACAACAATGAGATCTTTTTTATAACCTACTCCTTGGGGTCCAGAAATATGATCAATTTTTGTTAATCCATACCTGGATTTTTCTCATGACTGATACGTGAGTCGCTTGGGTAGTTATCATGTACTTATTTCCAAAAGAATATACTGGGTGGTTCGTAAGTTTTGTCGTCACAAAGAAGAAATGTTGACAACATAAATATGGACTTGGCAACAATTCTCGATTGGGGATCCAGAATAATTTGGTAGATTTCAATGCAAACAGAACACAAGCATGCCTCTTTTCTAGATAAGCCAATCTCACTGTGCCCAACATAAGCTTGTCAGGTATAACCATACCTTCGAAGACATCCATTTTCGATGCTTGGTATTACTATCAGCAATAACCTTTCTTGGGAAAATCAATTGCTAAAAGTGCATCTCATGAACTTGGTTTTCTGTTTCGGGCCAGGAGCTATTTCACTTCCAGTCAGCTGCTTATGATCTATAAGGCACAGATCTGACCTGTCCTGGAATACTGTTTCCATATTTGGAGTGCAGCACCTAAATATACCATGAAACTGTCTGTCTGTCTGTCCAAAAAAGGGAAATTCGTCTCGTGGGTGATGCCTCGCTAACAAACTCACTCACTTCTCTGGAACATCGTAGAAAAGTTGGCGATCTGGCTCCATTTTATAGATATTTCCATGGACGATGCTCTTCTGAAATATCAACAATTGTTCCTCCGTTGGCAGTCCCCGCGAGATTAACCCGTCGAGTTGAGGCTTCGCACCCCTTCGTGGTCACTTTGGAGACCTGCCGAACATCTCTTTCCAAAGACTCGTTCTTCCAACGAACAGCGAGGCTCTGGAACACATTGCCAAGGGAGGTGTTCCCCGAGGCATATGATCTTCTGAAATTTAAGAAGAACACCAATTCCTACCTTATTTCCCTTGGTTCTCACGATGTTTTCTAAACATTACAGGATATCCCTTTTCGTGGTATCCAGAACATAAAAAAAATGATATAACACCCTATACTTCGTATATACAACTTGTAAGACTCTACAAGTATGATATATTCAGAACCACCTTGATGAGATGTACCCACTGTTGAAGTGTTCCCGTTTCCCAATGGGACACCCTGATGTATTATTTGGTAGTTGATCATTTTCCGTCAGCGCTGTCTGCATTCAAATTTCATTCTAAGGCACTACAATCCTGCTGGAGTGAATACTAGCCCTTTGACCAGCCCAAACGTTCAGTTTCCAGGAATTTTGCGAATGTGCCTCTTGTATACCCAGTGCAGATCAGTTTGCGACCAGTTCCGGCGATTTTGTCTAAAGGACACACACTCTGTCTGCTGTGTCATCGTTCCTCAATACTCCGTTGATTTTTTTCATACATATCTGTTGTTATTGAAAATAATAATAGCAAATGATACATCAATGAATTTTCTGAAAGATTCTCTCCCAAATTTTATGGAAATATAAAGGGTGTGTTCTTTAAAATAATGAAGTTGAGAGGAATTTCGGAAAAACTGAAAGCGTGGCAATATTGGCGATAACAAAATCCGAATCCGCTATATTTTCAAATTATCCTGTACAAAAATTCGAAAGACTCTAAGTTTTCCTACAGTTAGTGAGATATTCACTTGGTTCCATACTTTTGCACAATACTATCATTCTGACCACTGTCTTCGGATCAGCCGAAAATTTAATAACCTTACAAAATGCAATAAACAATAGGTGATCGGCGGCAAACATATGAAATCTAAAGGTATTCAATTTGAGGATGAAGCTTTTTTGGAAAAGCTAATCCGAATTTGAAAAAAAAAATAAAAAAAAATAGATTAGGCTCAGAGAAACATGGAATCCAAGTAGACCAAAACCATATCTTGTTCATTCTGGTACATCGCCACAATAGTATATTACTTATGTAACAAGTGTTATAATCGTACTTTTAGTAACGAGTATTTTAAGCACGAGCGGAGCAGAGCGGAGCGAGTGTTTAATAAACGAGTGTCAAGAAGAGTTTATAAACGCGTTACATACTATGCTTTTTCTACGAACTCCGAAAATTACATCAACATACTTGCTATTCCTGCTACCTACAAAATAATTCGATAGGAATGGGAATTGAGAACATAATACATGCAACTGCATGCAACCGGCGAGACACGTATAAGTGATATTGATTGTAGATGTGTCCAGTCCATTGCTCACTAACCTTTGTTTCACGTCTATTGTCATGCTTAGCGAAAAATAAATGAATTGTTCTCAAATATGGATGCATCATTTTTACACTTCTTGGAGATATGCAAGTACCAAAACATTCCTTTCGATTTCCCTTTCGTTTTCCCTTTCGTCTACATTTCGCATATATTTTGAATGAAGAATTCTGATACAATCGAACATTGTTTGACTAATTCTGATACAAAATTCGAAAATGACAGTTGACAGTTAATACAATTGACAGGCCAGACATGTCTCAAATTACTGAAGTTGTGTTTAATGAACTGTGTTGCCATGGTAATGTGTTTGAGAAATCGTGTTGCCATGGTAACATGTTTAATATTTTGAATAAATCACATATCGTCAATCCGTGATTAATCGATCATTTAGCGTGGTACATATCCGTACACTTAATGCCATTTTAGTCATCATGTGAGTAGAGAAACTATTTTTTACGCCGGCAGGAGTAGAAGTTAGTTTCTCTGGTAACAAAAGAGGGTCAGAAGTCTCGTTTTATTTCCTAGGGAGATAATGTGACATATTTTCTCCCTAGGGAATTTATACACTTTACATTTTCCGCATAACTCTGTGTTTTCTTTTTGGAAACCCATCTCTGAAGCGAGTATAAGCTGCATCATACAGACCACTTCTAGATCTCATTGGTAGCAAGTTAAGAATCACTGCAGAAGCAGTAGCAATATAGCTTCTTGGGATTTTTTAAGTTGTTATCATAAATTTCAGTTTGATATTTGCTGTCACTATGGGTTGTCAACAAGATGCATGTTGTCAAGATACGAATTCCACAAACTATACTACTACTAGTACTTCTATTAGGACAAAACACTTTGGACAAGATTTTCATTCTTTCTTGATTTTTTTGTTTCCGCCAGCGCAAAAAATAGTATATACACCTCAGGACAGAATGCTATTTTTCCCTCGGTGCTTTGTATTTCACGGGCTTTGCCCTAACGCTACAAATCGCACCTCAGAAAAAATCTTGCATTTCTGTCCCTTGATGTATAATGAACTATTGTGGTTTGATTTCTGAACTTTAGGTCAATTTCTCAGTGACATGGTGCAATAAGGAGAATCAGTCTTTTTCAGTGGTGATTTTTTCATTGCAGGGTTATTTATTATTTATAGTATTCTATTCTAAGGCTTACCTTTTCCTGCCAACAAATTGAGAGTCATGGGCCCGTTGAAATTATCTACCCAACCATCTATAGGGTCCTCGAAAGATGGTAGAACTGGAAAAGATAACTATCATCTGCTTAACATAAAACTGAATGAAAAGTTTCGAGACGTCTAATATGTATCACAACTGCTGAGGATGAAATATTCATCTCAGTATGGAAGCATAATATGTAATAAAATTATATGGTATGGTGGATATAGGTACAGAGGAAAATATGAGATAAATGTTACTCTCACTCTCTTTCTGGAGAGCGGCGTACATAGAATTGAGAAAATTCAGGAAATAATCGAATTCACTTCTCAATATTGCAAGATGCAAGTTATAGTGAGACACTATGGACATTTATCATTTTAAGGATGGTCCAATGAATCAATCAATGGAGCTCATGAAGGACATTAAATATCAAAGTGCGAATCTTGTAACTAGATATAGGTGTGAATACTAACTTGTCGAGAATGAAAAACGAATTGAATAATAGTATATTATATAACAAGTGTTATAAACGTCCTTTTAGTAACGAATATTTCAAGCACGAGCGGAGCATGGCAGAGCGAGTGTTTTATAAACGAGTGTTTAGAACTGTTTATGAACGTTGCATACTATACTTTTTCTACGAACTCATAATTCCTCTCTTCGACGAAATATCATAATTCCGAAAATTAGATTAACTTCCTCGCTTACCTACGAATTTATTCGGAGGAAATAATCATTGGAAAAATAATACTATTTAACTGCAAGCAACCAACCAGGCACGTTTAAGTGATATTGGTTGTAGATGTGTCCAGTCCATAGGATACATGAATTTCACTAACCTTTGTGAATAAAAAGTTTTCATCTGATGTAGAAGATGAAAACTCTTGGATTCGCTGAGGTATCAAAGTTTTCGATTTCTCAGGTTTGTATCCATATTCTGATTGCATAATTTTTGCTTGCATAAATGTTCTTAAGTTATATTCTCATATGTCACATAGAATAAATTGCTCAAAGAGATATGAGAGTTTCATTTTTACACAGAGTTCTTGGAAATATGCAAGTACCTAAAAAATTATCTTCGATTTCACTTCCGTCTACATTTCGCATAAATTTTCAATGAAAAAATCTGATTGTTTGAATAATTCTGATCGTCTCCGATTGCAAAATTCAAGAAAATTCGAAAATGACAGTTGACAGTTCCTATCAATTGACAGGCCAGGCAGGACTCAAACGACTGAAGGTGTATTTGAAAAACTTTGTTGCCATGGTAATGTGTTTAATTTTTCGAATAAATGACAGATCGTCAATCCGTGATTAATCGATCATTAAGCGTGTTACATATCCGTACGGTAAATGCCATTTTAGTTATATGAGTAAAAAAAAGTAATTTTAAATCGTTGCCATGAATCTACCATTCTTGGCTTTTGGTTTGGATAATGTCGACACACACAAAAACTCCAAAATTCTTGTCTAAGATTAATTCATGGAATTCGAAAATTTGATCCGGTTAGCCATACTTTGGTTACTAATCGATGGTTGAATATGGCGAACAGACGGAGATTGCACTGCCTTACACTGTTTCACGAAATCATGGTACTCCTTCATACCTAACAAACACAATTAGATTTTGATCGGATGTACAAAACATCAATATCCGCAGGCGGGAACATTTAACAGTTCCTCAACATAGAACATCACTTTTTCAGAGATCCTTTCAATATAATATACCATGCCATTACAATAACCTCCCAACAGATTACAAAACGATGTCCTTGACAAAATTCAAAAAGACAGTTTTTGAAATGCTCTTTCACGATCAAAGCCGAAGCAGATAATTTAAACAATGTTTCAGGGAATTGCGAGTTATCTATAGAAACGAGATAATCAAAATTAAATAATAGAATATATTTATATATATTTGATTTCGTTATCAATATTTTTGTTCTTCTTATGCTCTCTAGGAACTTCATAATTTCCATCAATTATATAGGTTAGGTACAGTAGGAATTGTTTCTAATCAATTTTCTTTCAGTTTCAATCATATAATTATTATTATTTATATATATTATATTATTATCATTATTATTTTATTTCAGAAATTTATTATGATTGTTAATAATTTTATTTATTATTCATATTATTACCATTATTATCAGAGAGGATCTTGCCAGGAAATGAGTTCAAATACTACTTCAATTTATTACAAGGGCCCTTGAGGAAGAAGATTTTAACTGATCTTGCGCCTTTTAACCAGCACCATTTTGTATTTGAATTAGTATTTTGTTTTGATAATTAGTCTACATTGTTCGTATCTGCTGGTTAATAAAGACACTATTATTATTATTATTATTATTTTATGTCGCCGCTGTTGCCGTTGAATTCAAATTATCATTTTAGGAGCGGATTTGTTCATGTGACTTGATGTGTTTGGAAGATCGAATCGGAGAACCACTTGCTCATATCTGTATAGGCGTTTTCGGAAACTTACTCTGGGTTGTTGACTCGATCTGAACGGGTCACGTGATGGATCAGTCGGATCACTTATCCTAATACTATAATTTACGAACTTATCAGGTTACTATTTTATTGACTTAGCTTTATACCTCTTTGAATAGAACTTCTTGATTTCTTACAGCTGTATGCTGTATGCAATTTTTTCAGTTTGCTATACGATATCAATATTTTCGGATCAATTTCTCCATGTCTTTAAAAACATACCACTAAACTCTAAAAAGATACACGTTGTTATTGTAATAGAAATGATGAATATTGCTTCTGCTCATGATGTTGGTGTATTTTCATCATCAAACTAATGCTATTCAACATAATTCACTTCTTGTTCAATTGATGAAATCAAATAATATCTGAAGTGACCTTAGAAATACATGAATCGTGAGTAGTTCTGTGGTAGTAATTGTATGATCTAAGGTAGTAACTCTGGCTGACCCTGCTTTGGAGCAGGGTTGGGAAACGTGAACCCGAGTTAGTGATCGAGTAAGTAACACCGAAGTTTCCGAACATGGGTATGTTAATCGGGTTAGGTAATAGTATATTACATAACAAGAGTTGTAAAACGCATATTACGCACGAAGTGGAGAGAGTTACACACGATGCCGCATAGCGGCGAGTGTGTAACTCCACAAGTGCGTAATTGCTTCACAACTCGAGAATTGTACTATACTTTTTCTACGACTACACTATATTTTCTTCCGGATAGTGCAGATATTGCATTAAGGCACAAATAACGAATACCTATATATACACGTCTCCCGTGACTAACCCAGCTGCATGAAGAGTTACAAATCAAAATTCTTGGATTTGTTTATTGATACAATGCATACCGAGACATTTTCCCCAATTCGAACTGAAATGGAGCCGTTTTTCATATCTAAACAACTTTCTTAATATAATAATAAAACACATATAAAAATATGAGATTAACATTCATAATGGTTATTTATTGTAACAGTGCAGAACGAGAGATTCTGTAATCGTTATTGAAAATAATAAAAAAAAGTTCTCCAACTGTGCTCTGATCCACCGACCTTTGGACTCGGAGCCAGCGCTTCCAACAACTGAGCCATCACCATTACTTGGGATCAGTAGATATTTTATAAATATGATTTCTCGACAATTGATCTTTTCTAAAATTATTCCTGTTATTTGAAGTGAAAGGAATTAATCAATTCAATGTTGAGTATATATGTTATTCGAAAAATTACCTTCATGAATAGATATTCATCAACAGGAGCAATCTGCAGAAAATACCTAATTGATCTGTTCAGCATTAAGTATTTTCGATTTTTTACTTCGGAATCCATCCGACTTCCTTTCGAGGAAATGGGATATGTTGCTATATTAATATTGTGATTGATATTTAGTGTTGATCGTAACATGGACTATATCGACCAGAGTGATGATGATTTCATCGAATTTGATAATTCTTGAGAATAATTGTTTTTATGTTGTTTAAAATTGTTTTTATGCGTCATTCGGTTGCCCCCTTACGAGCAACCCTCAGAAGTCTTCGAGAGTCTTGTGCGAGCAAGGAATGACGGGGGCCTTACCTTTTGACGTGTGATCCCAAACACTTTCTTGGGCCATCAGAAAACTTTCTGCAGTCGACGGGACTCGAACCCACGACCGGCAAGCGAATGCGGATTAGAATATGGACACTCTGTCCGCACGGCTACCTGGCCACCGAATAATATACTAAAAAGTTATGTTCCGAAAACGACACGGTATTATTTTTCTAATTCTCTAGTCCAGGTATTTTTAATGTGCTATTTTGTATTATTCACGAGACTTAGCGGGTAGCAACTCATTTTCAGCCATTCTAGCTTTTTCCAACATTTCACGTGGTGTAGAAATAATCTGCTCATCGTGATAGCTACTGACATTAATGAAATAGTTAATTGTTATTGACACATCGCCTAAGCAAAAAAGCAAAGTCATCTATCAACATACCTATGGAAACCGTGCGATCGCTCTCTTTACGCACACGTGTGTAAGGAGAAGCTTACTGCCATTGTTTTGTGTACAATATTCATCACTTACAGTAGTAGTCGTAGGAAAACGAACGTGCAGGTTAGGGATCGAGTCAACCCGAGTAGGTTTCCGAAAACGCCTTATGATTAGCTGTGTTTGCAAGAACGAATCTGATATTTCGAGAAATATCACTTGGGCGAAACGTGGTCGGTTGGATGGAAAACTGAAGGCATGACATGAGGCAGGGGCATTCATCAACGGGACGGCAGGGTAGAAAGACCGGCCACGGATTCCTTGTTCTGATCTCAATTAGGTTTTGAATACGATTCATATCAAAGTAGCTTGTACGCTTGTGAAGATTGGCGTTGGTATCTTGTTTATTAGATGTTATGCGATTAAACATGATGGATACATCTATTAGGTCTACTCACCAGCGGTGGTTTCAGTACAATGTAATTTGAATTATCTATCGATGAGAATCCGATATATACAATGGGCAAGACCACTGAGGAAAGAAATCCGTGCAAATCTCTTTCAATCGACGAATCATGATTTACGTTTGATGTACAATCAATATTATGAGTTGAAGTTGAATGGAGTCGAATCTATAGCGTTGTGAAATCAGCATATTCCATTCGATATTTCTAAAAGCCAAATATGAAGGTGGAGCCGTGACGTATTAGTCCCGAACTGTAGCTATCTCTCTCTGATACCTTGTCATTCTGCAGTGTTGTAGTGTGATTGGTCAGCTCAAGGACAATAGGCGTGTTGGGACTAATACGTCGCACCAGTCACACCAAAGAATTGACACCATTTCGAATGGCGCAGGAATTGTGTGTTTTGAAATAGACATATCCTCTAATTCATTTTTTTCATCGTCCTAGCATGAATGGAAATAATTCGAAATTGATTCACTGGTAGTTTTTCAGTATAGAGTTCAGGATGATGTCGTTTCAAAAAATCAGTGGTCTTCCCCATTCCAATAGGAACAAATCGGAAACCTTACATGGTCATGTAATCGAATAAGTCACACAGGGTCAATACCAAGGATTTCGCATAGATAGATGACTCATTTGACTTCACTATATCAAGCAATAACGAACATCGAATAATAAACAATATATGCATGGGAATCAAAATCTCTTCTAGGGATGGTATACCTACTCAAATTGAACAATATACTCAATCTTAAAGATGCTATCAGTCAAATTTCGAAGTATGCCTCTACAGATTGAGGACTTTTCGTCAATTCTTATATATCACATGTTTGAAAATATTTTGCAACAATCTCTCGGTGATGATTTGTGGTTTTCGTTCAGAAATGAAGAGATTGCTATGGACTCAATACTTCCATCATTCAGTTGATTAGATGGATAAGTACCAAGTTCACCGAAAAATCGGAGAATCAAGATATATAATCTGTTGCATTGATACCTAGGGCTTTTCATCGCCGATGTGAAGGAAATGAAGATTCCAGAACATGGGGATATTCATGAACATATTATAATACGTTTTTTGTCAACTCCCGACTGGGAAAGATTCAAATCATCTTTCTGAACTTCGTGATTTTGTACACCTTCAAGTAAGCTCTCTTCGATGGAGTTAGCAAACTTAGGAGACCTTCATTTGACATCTCATTTGGACCAAATCTATTTGCCAATTTCTAACATTTATTTACACCAATGATCCTGATTTTGATCGCCCATTTCTCCACAAGAGTTCTTAATTATAATACTCACCTATGGATGGTCTCACTATGATGGCTGGTATTTGGTTTGTACACAAATCGATAACAAGTTGCTCCGTTAATCCTTTGGTGTAGGTATACGTATTTGGCAATGGATGAATACATTTTTCTGTTAGCACTTGTAAAGTCATCTCGTCATATTTTTCAGCCAATTCTATGGCCATCCTCCAGTCTTGTTTCGCGGGATACACTTTTTCTTCTATAACATCCTTTTCGAAGTTGCAATAGACAGTGGAACAGTAAACGAACACATCCAAGGTTTTGCATTGTTTGGCCAATGTGATAATCTCTCTAGTACTACGTGTGTTAGTTGTGATGGCTATTTTCAAAAAGTCATCGAATCTTACGGACGCTGCGATGTGGTATATTATCGAAACGTTGTCTGTAATGGTCTTAGTGTCTTTCTCGCCAAGCCCTGGAAAAAAATAAACATTCAACATCTTCGGGTGGGTAGCCCATAGACATAGAGAAGAAAATTACGGTTTGTATGTTCATCGGTATGTTGTTTTTCACATGCTATTGTACAGTATTCAGTAGACTATTTTTCATTCAATGATATGACAAAGGGACATGCAACAGCGCTCCGTCATGAGAGTGTTGGAGGAAATACCTCTCGGAAGAACAGCGCCAGAAAAAAATGGCTCTTGCTTCACCTACAAAAATATGGCATCTCTCCGAAGTTACGTTAAGTTGCTCGTAACGATTATCTCCTTTTTTATTGTCGTTATTTATTGTTGTTATGCTAATATATTATGCATTGCAGTTAGCATAGATAGAATTGAGTGTAGAACAAATATATCTGATATATTGCTAGTGTTGGACTAAATAGCTCTCGGAAGAACAGCGCTGGAACAAAATGGCTCTTGCTTCACCTATAACAATATGGCATCTCTCCGAAGTTGCTCTTGATGACTGTCTCCTTTTTTATTGTCGATATTCATCGATGTTATTCTAATATATTATGCGTTGCAGTTGACATAGATATAATTGGGTAGAGAATATATCTGATGTATTGCTTATAAAACGTGAACATAATATAATTATTAACCCTAAAAGATAGGCGAAATGTAACAGATTTGATGAAGGAACTAGCGCAAGGCCCACATTTATTTCCAAAAATGGAATTCGATGTTCGAACTAGATAGCTGAGATATCCAGAAATCATTTGAATATCTTTCACGCATAACCTATCCTGACCTCGAGATTATGCCATATTGTCGCAGGTGAATGAAGAGCCAAGTTATCCTGGCAATTAACTATTCATTGATAATAATAATCGATTCATCGTGTCAGGAGTCAGGAGAGCAGCTACAAAGGTACAGGAAAACTGTAATAGGGCAGACCATAAAACGTTGACTGACTGAGCACAGAAAATCATTTGAGATTGTATACACGCACTATCAGAAAGATTTCGGTCACTGATGGTTTTTATGGATGGGAGATGATTTGAGAATCTTGCTCAAGTAAACTGCGAACTGTGCTCATATAGGTTATAGTTGAATGTTTGATTGATATTTTCCAAAATGTTCCCCACAAATTTGATGAAAATAAGAATTGAAGATCAGTCTGATTTTACTTTTTAGCAGGATGACAACTCTAAATGCACTCTGGGAGCATCGCCCCTGATAAATGATATATGATATACATAGAAGCCGTTATGAATGAAGTACGTTTTTGAGTTGTGATATGGCATAGTGAGCACTCGTTTCTACAGACACAGTCAATGTTAGAGGCTCTGTTTATATTACTGAAAGTTTTGTTTCAGCAAATGGGCGAATGACTCCTTCTTCCACTTCAGCAGTATTTTAACAAATCTGTAGTAGAAGTCTATGTTATCTCACACACATAGTCATTCAATTGAAATCTAGACGATTTCAGGGCATATTCCGAACCTACATAAATGGGTTAATCCATAGACATAGGTTAATCATTAGTTAACATGTAGATTAATGAAGAATTCAAAGAATAATATAACATGGAAGTGATTATATACATGAAGAGGAAATAATTCACATATTCGAAACATTAAAAGTTGGAGAAAGGAGGGTACTGTAAGACGAAAAAAACCGGAAATCATTTTCGATGGAAAAATAATGGGGTTGCTTCTTGAAAAAATATATTCGATTAGTATATTATGTTGAAAACTAAATAGTTATGAATCATTGAATGTTATTTAATTAGGGATTTTGAACAGTATAACATTCTGATTGGTTAATTTGTATCAATATTCTCGCTCTTCTAGGTAGTACACTGAGACAGTCATCCCTAAAGCTTGAGTGTGTTGAAAAAAATCATAAAATATAATGATATTCATTGCTGATTATAATATAAAAATATTATTCATCAATTTATTACATGTTCATGAGATAATTTCAGATTTAATGTTTGGAAAAAAGTGTCGAACCCTGCTTACATTTGGAGGTTTCAAAATCTTGGCGATCTGATTATCTGAAATTTCACATAGAAAAACAAGTTTCCTATTTTGAACTTTCTTGCAAGAAACTTCCTTTATTCACCAAAAATATGTATGGAATTGGACCAAAGTAAGTCGAAAAATTTCGAAGTTTTTCGAGCATCACACTTTTAGCATATTTTCTTCGACGCTACAAACTTGGTTTCATACTATTGGGACATACCTTGACAACATATGCAGAAAAAGTATGCGAATTTATGCAAACTTTCTCCTATTTTTTGATACTTCTGGTGCTTGTGACCTCGCCGAAAGCGAACGCTCGAGTTGGAGTATATTATCATCTGATCAATAGTTTACAACGGTTTCAGGCAAACTGAAGCTCAATATCTCTCAAAATATATTTTTTTCGACAAAAATGTATTCAATAATTTAGTTTTGTTTTCTCGCTTTCCAACATCCATTTTTTTGATTGATTTCGGAAACACCGAGTATGATATGTAATCTTTCGAGATGCTCGTCTTCAGCCACTATTTGGTACATCGTCAGCCTGATTGTGACTTTTATCTCGTTTGAGATCTATCTCCATTAATTCGGTAAAAAGTGAAGACTGCGGAATCTGTACTTACCAAGATTCAACTGTGTAATATCTCCAGGAACTCCCAGAACTTTATTAAGAACATCGTTGTTTCCTTTCTTCAGTTTGTCGAATAACTATAAATAAGTAGATTTCTTAAAATTCAATAGTACCTACCTACCTATATTATTCAGGTTCATGCATTATCGTGAAATCTGCAATTTCAATAGATATATCGGTATAAAGATATAATAGGAAATATCGGGGAGTTCAGTCAATCGGGCTACAAACAAACTACTTCATTGCTATGCCAAGCTTTCGAAAATTTTTATTTTCTTCTTCGAAGCTGAATAAAAGATATAGATGATGTATATACTGATTATTATTCCAATTTATACCTTGTTTTTGTAGAAGTAGAATAACACGAATTTCCTCACCAATTAGAAATCGGTTTCCACCGATGATTAGCCTAATTTCTTGACAGTTTGTTGTGGCAATATGACACTCCTGTAATTTCAGATAACATTGCTACAGGGTGATAATTGAATGGGTGTAAAATTGCATCGTGGTCGTCACCTTACCGTTTGAACAGATAATTTTTTTAATTTCTTTTCTCACCTGTATTCTCTTGATTGATGCTTTATCTCGAATCGTTTTCGGAATTCTCAAATTCAGAGCTTTGATAATCGTGTTATGAATATTCATTCAGAATGATGCATTTTTTCGACGATTAATCGAATGAAATTGAAAATTGAAATTTTTTTCCGAAGAATCAACTGTATGTATAGTCGTCGGATATGTAATCGTGTTCGAACACAAAAAATCTGAAAAAGTCTATACAAAGTGATGCAAGAAATACTGAATGATGGAATGGAGAATAACGTAGTCTTCAGCAGATGAAACATAATTTTCTCTCACTAGTGGAATAATGGACTTGTTACTCTGTCATGAGGATGTCTGGTATCTGACCTCGAGATGGTTTTGTAATTTTTTGGATCGAAGGTCATATAATGAAAGTACGCATTTTTAATCAAAATGATGCATTTTTGTTAAGATGAATTATAAAATTCAAAAAATTACAATTGTAGTTCCAGAAGTATGAAATTCATATTAATCCTTGACGATGGATATACAAGGTGCGATAAAAAATATGGTCAGATTGTCCTGGGATGAAGAAGAATATGTTTGAACGTGATGAAAATCGCTATGTTCCTAAAAAGGAATATAATGTCCGAGATAATGTCGGTCATTGTCGAAAATTGTGAAAAGAATAAATATAGTAACTTTTCATGAGGTTTATACAAGGGAATATGAAAGAGACTGCATGCAGAATTGCCACAGATTCGATTATATATTTTCATACTAATCAAGAGGATACAGGTGAGGAAAAAAATTTAAAAAAAATATCTGTTCAAACGGTAAGGTGACGACCACTATGCAATTTCACACCCATCCAAGTATCACCCTGTAGCAATGTTATCTGAAATTACAGAAGTTTCATATTGCCACAACAAACTGTCAAGAGGTTAGACTTCATCATCGGTGAAAACCAATTTCAAATTGGTGAGGAAATTCGGGAGTTATTCTACTTTGAATTCAGGCTATATTTTGGAGCACGACCTTATCAATGTTGACCAGTTTATTTCATATACCAGATATTGTTTCAGCCTTGAAGAAGAAAATAAAAATTTTCGAAAGCTTGGCATAGCAATGAAGTAGTTTGGTTGTAGCCCGATTGACTGAACTCCCCGATATTTCCTATTATATCATAATATAATAGAGTCGATAAACTATTCAATAATATCGGTATAAATACCTACAGAATCTTCAAATTAGATGCTCTCGAGATTTCCGTGATCTGGAGAACCGCAAAGAAATGATATATAGATTATGATTTGATAGACTGGAAATAATGTCGGATAATATTCGGAAATTTCTAACTGAATGAAAATTCTTTAAAAGAAATGAAATGGCTGATTAAGTAATTCAGAATAAACAAAGTTATCGAAATAAACATCGACTTCCCTTCTATTCTTCGGTAGAATAGAAGTGAGAATCAGGTTATTTTATACCCCTATATTGAATACGAAATATTCTATGATTTTACCCATATAATAATGATGCATGTATACTATGATGATTCCAGGAGAATATAAACGACATATTATGGAATGTTCCTATAAGGTTATTAGAATAGTCGAATGATCATTAAATTTATAGATAATAAGCTTTCAATATCAGGAAATCAACTAGAACGTTCTAAAGATATTAGATGATTTATTCATCACAATTCCTGGAGAATATTCATACATGATTATGTAATGTTCTAGAACGTATTCTATGATGATTTCAGGAGAACAGTCATAGACTATTTGATTATATTCCTAGCACATTCTGAGAATATACCCATCATATTATATCTAGATCGATTATACAGAGAACTGCACAAAAACGTGCTGATACTGCTAAATCTGTATCGAATTCCCGAAGTTGTTTTTTTGATTTTTGTAGGATCCAAATTGATGTAGCTCCCAATCTACAGAATTTTTGGTAGCAACACTTTGTATTGAATATCATTGTTACATTGATACCAAATTGATGTGCTAGGATACTTATATCTTCAGAATACCATTACAATTTATGATCAGTGTTGAAAGATAAAAGCTTGATAATAATTGAAATGATGCTCTTTTGACATTTCGATATTTTGATAAAAGAAGTTCCTAGTATGTGAAAAAGGGTCCTCTGAATCCATACATGAAAAAATATATACAAGGTGTCCTATTTGAAATCAAAAGTTGTTGTTTTGTTTCCGGTTGAACCGGAAGTGATAAGTTAAATAATATGTTTTTCCCAATAAATGATCGATTTGGTATATACTTGCTACCACCAAATTCCAAAATTCAAAAGTTACCTTTTTTTGTGCAGTTCTTTGTATCTGGATAGAGTTCTGGAATTTCATACACTCATTCAAATGGTGGAAGTACTTACGGGAACATCGAACATTGTCTTGACTCTCTCTTGAATACTCTTGTTTTTCTTAGGCCTAATCAGAATGTAAATATTTTTAATACCAGGACACGTTCTCAGTAGCTTCTCAATCAATACTTTCCCGATGAAACCACTACTGCCAGTTATGAAAATACTCTTGCCTTCGAAAAATTGTGTTACAGACATTACGGACTTTTTCTGGTCAAACAAGAATGGCATATCAATCAATATACATGCAATTGCACTGATTAAAGATTCAAGAGACAATTCCTGCTGCAAGCAATTCAATACAAAATGACAAGAAAATTGTTATTGTTATTCGTGTTCTACATAATGCTGATTCTACCTTGTTTATTATCATTGGATACAGTGGCGGAGCAAAAATGGGCCTACGCTCCTTATAGCGGGTGACACAAGACTTATGGTATATACCCTCTTTTGGTTTTTTAGCTTTATTTCCGAAATTTGGAACATCCCATATGCTGACTAGAGGGCACTTTCTCACATTTCAGGAAATCATTTGCATCTTTTCAATTTCCTGGAAAAATGACATAAATTCTAGATTTTCAGAAGGAACACCCTGTATTTCATTTCATAATCGATTAGAGATTATTATAACGAGTTCAACAATATAGAGTTTAATTGGGTTACTTCAAATAAATACGAAGATATTCACGTTCGAAGTTTCCATAAGCTCAATGGGTGTGACGGCGCAATATCAAAACTCACAAGGTGTTGCATTTGAAAATCGGAGGTTGATGTCATCTCCAGGAAAACCGGGAAATTAAAGAAAATCCTGAAGTGCCCTCTAGTGAGCACCCAGTAACCACAAACATTCCTTGGATGTCACATTCAATGCGAATTACAAAACATTCGCAATATTCGTCAAATTTCATTGGATTCGAGACTTAAAATATAGGTGAATTTGTGAGGCTTCCTAACAACCAAGAGACTTACTGGAACCTCACATTCTTGACTATTTATGTAACAAACGGAATCAATATATTTTGATGTTGAATGAGGAGTCGCTTAATGCGTACTGTGAGTTTTATTTGGCATCATAATGTGAATCATAAAATGACCAAAAGGGTCTGGTATAGCCGTCATTGTGATTTCAGTGGGACTCATTTCGAGTCACGAATGTGATGTGTAGCATGAATGTGAAGCTGTGTTAACTGGACATATTCGATGTTCCAAATTGCAGAAATATAGCTAGAAAAACAAAGGAGGAAAGGGAGATATACTGTGAGTCAGTGTCACCCGGTAGCATATAAGCACAACGTAAAGCTTGACCATTCTTGCTTGTCCCCTGAGATGCGCAAACGATAAACAGAGAGGGTTAGTATACAACAAAGATCCACTACACCCTTTTATTGGGACTGTAGTTTACTAATCGATGTTCACTGAACGACAACAATAAGTTCTCGCCCCACTCAACCGGCTGGTCTACTGCGCATCCAATTCTCAGGTGCCAAGCTAGAATGGTCAAGCTGTACATGGATTTGGCAAAGGACCTGTATCTACTCTTTTTGATTGGTTGATTCCAAACAAGAGTACATCTTGCCATTGTTGAGTCAAAGTCATGTACGTCTTGCGAGTGAGCATAAAATGTATGCGTATGACAGACAACAGTAGGTACATATTGTAAGAGTCGCGTCAGTTCCTTATAACGTTTTGTCAGTAAATTGAAAATTGCATGATAATGCATTTCAAAGATTTATTATCATAATGCTAATACTGAATCGAAAAAACTCAGCACATTGACACACATCGAAAGTAAGTAAACACCCTGTATAACAGACAGGAGACAAATGTCATCCAGGTAATTTGGATTGAATATTTATATTTTGAGCTCAGGATTCTTGAGTTAGAATATTTCCAATTATTAATGGAACACCCAGTATGTATAAACATACATATTCTTGGGAATATTAGTGGGAAGTAATCCAATCAAATAGTAAGATTTCCTTGTTTCTTGTTGAGCTCTCGAAAATTTGGAACATCATAGGCAGGTTTATGCACACAACTGTATATCAATACAATTTGTATACTTACTAACAAAGTATACCTACCTACACATTTTCGAAAGCTCGACATAAAACGAAGAAATCTTACTGAATGGTCACATTCGTCTGCTTCCCACGATAATTCCCAAGAATATATACTATAGAATACCAAGTCGAGAAGAATGATTCCTATTGCTTCTACCCACCCCTACCTCCTACAAACAACTTACAGAGCCTAAAAAAAATCCACATCGTCTGTGACATCAAAGTAACCTGAATATCACTCCAATTCCAGCACAGCTATGTTCACCTACTTATGTTCATAATATGAAATAAAACATTATCACTTAGCCATGTCCGAGCACACAAAAAGTTTTTAATTGAGAGCACTTCCACGTACGATCCATTTCGTGTGATTTTACCTGGAAAATTATTGAATCCACATATCACATTCTTCTAGTTTGTCTAAATCTGCGTAAATTGTTGTACTGACATTGTTAGTAACTCCTTTTGTCTTGTATTTGAAAGATCGGAGTAATTCTATATCGAAATAAGGTGTTGAAATCAAGATCAACTATCCAACTCAATAATAAGACGACATAGTGACTGAGCAAAAACTAAAACAAAAGCGAGTTCTAAGATGGCAATAACGTGATCCATTTTATATAAACCTATTATACGCACTTTGTACTGCTAGGTATTTGGCAGCGAGAAACTAAGTTGCAAAATTTACATCTATTTGACGTCTGTATAGCAATGTGTACTGTTATTTGGCATCGACCATTCAAAAAGCAAAGATACAGGCGAGGCTACAGGCCGTTTACCAAATCCTTGTACGTTGTGCATATACACCCGGTATAGCAAGAAAAAAAACTTGGCCTCTTATCAGTCGAGAAAAAATAATTCACTTAACACTCTGAACGATAAAAAAATTGAAGGATGAACAACAACAAAATCATACTGACCTCCCATAGTCATACATGAAGTTTTAGCAGACACGTATATACGAGTGTATACCTACGTGACTTAAAGGGTGAATTTTATGTTTGTTATTATGAAATATTCCTTCTTATTTCATCAGATGTCCGAGTTGACTTCTTTAATATTTCTATACGTGAATAAAATAGGTACCATCTGTGAGAAATAGATATTACCAACGAAGAAGAATGATAACGTCGTCAAGTCATTCACCTAACCTAACCTCCATCATCAATTCATTTCATAACCGCGGCGAGATTCTTTGTGCCAGGTGTAAATGTTCAGATTGCACATTATTGTGCGATGATTTACCACAGTAATGTTTTACTCAAGTCGTGACGCCGTGATTGGTATAGCAGGCGTACTTTCGTGGCTATATGCTACGCAGAACATTGAATTACATCCTCCCGAAATCTATGCAACGATTCGTATGGACGAATAAGATTGCAAGTGTTTTCTTCCTAAATGCGAACCTGACTCACCGTAAACACACGGTTATTTATTCAGTTTTCAATGGTACCTACTCTAGAGATCCCACCAGGATCATCGTGTAGGAGCCCTTCCAGAAGGATAGAACAACCCTTCTCCTGCTCACAAGATATCCTCTAGAGCCTGGCGTTCTTGTAGTACCTATAGCATTTTCCACTATTGGATTTGAAGATATTGTATTTTGCTCATTACATCAGACGGCCCAATGGTCAAAATCGTAAGAGCGCTCAATTCGTGAGAGGACTTCCACCAAGGCATGGGTTCGAGATCCACTGAAGCCATGTATGTTTGTGTATGCATGCTAAAACCTAACCCTGTACAAGCTGTCGTCGATTCGGCTACCTAGATTTCAATATTTTGCTGTTAATTTTGCACTACTTGATAGATAAATCATTTCCCTATCGAACGACACCTCCACCCATTTAATCGGCCGAAAAATGGCCAAGATATTTCACTTTTTAACTTTTTCACTCGCTTTTCGAGAATTGGCCAATCAGAGGACGCCAGACTTGCTGGTGCCGCTCTCGTAAAGATCAATGCTTTTTCAACGGACTTTTGGGCTTTCAGTCAATGGCCGTCCGAAGATAGTGAATTCTCCAGGGGCGGAGCCATACAGAATGTTGCTGTCGCCTCCAAATTAAGCACTTTTCTCACTCAGTAGCCCAGTACGATACCTACAAGAACAAATCGGCACACTAGGAACCTGGTTAAACAACTGGAAAATAGAAATCAACGCAGAGAAAAGCCAAGCTGTTCTCTTCACTAGACGACGTACCAAACCCACAGGACACGTAATACTAAACGACACACAGATGCCATGGGCAGATGAGGCCAGATAACTAACTTACTTTCAGACAACACATCACAACCTCACAACACGACTAAACTTGGGTAAAGCCGCAAGGCAAAACCTACAGCCTGTAATAGGTCGCAGAAGCAACATGGCTCTAGAGTTGAAGCTGCGCCTAATAAGAACCATTCTACTTCCAATAATTTTGTATGCATCAAATGCACGGGGCCAATGCGCAGAGACATACAAAAAGCGAATACAGGCATTTCTAAATGTCTCAATAAGAATGGCAGTAAATGCCCCATGCTATATCCCAAATAGATTTATCTATAGGGACCTGAACATAAACAACTACATAAGACAACACGCGGAGACTACATTCGGAAGAACAGAAACCCACGAAAACCCGCTACTGCACGACCTGACTAATAGACAACTAAATCAAGACCCCTTCGGAAGAATGAAGTACAGGTGCCCAATTCACTAAGTATAAGATAAACAAACGAGAGTAAATCAATATCAATAGAAGTTGCATAATAATCATAAGATAATTAAACAGAAGAGTCTCTCCTTTGATACCCTATTGAAATGTAAACCAATAATAATAATACATAAACTCAAATTTGCTTCCGATTAGGGTAGGGAACCACTCCGCAAAGTCAGGCTATGAAACACACATTAGACAAAAAGGTTTAAAAGTCGGGAGACTGAAACCAAGTGAGGGGTTTTATAAAACATATGCAGATTGCCGAATGCATAAGGTTGAAGTCCACTCGTTAGTGAGTGGGGGTGGATGGACATGGGGATAAGGAGCTATCATATAACGTAAGCCGCACTTGATCCTGGGCATTCAACCTTTCGGGGGGAACTCAGTAGCCTCCATTTCGTATCCAGCTCCTCTGCTGTTGGTTTTCAGACAGATATTGCCGTGCAGAGTAGCCGAGAATAGTTGAAACCAACTGTCTGATTGTGCGAGGTCGCTATTAAGCTCATATATTTGGGGAGCGATAGGGTCGCCCCCAAATATT